ATTCCCTTATTTCATTGACTGTCCATCTTTTCCCCTGAAAGATTATACTCAATTTTGCTGGACAGTTGATTTTTGGTTGTAATCCAAGCTGTTTTGCCTTTCAGAGTATTATATTCCAAACCCTCTGATCCTTTAATGTAGAAGCTGCTAAGTCCTGTATAATCCTGACTGTGGCTCCTTGACATTTTAATTGCTTCTTTCTGGCTGTTTGCTATATTTTCTCCTTGACCTGATAATCCTGGAATTTGGCTACAATATTCCTGGGAGTTTTCATTTTAGGATCTCTTTCAGGAGGTGATAGGTGGATTCTTTCAATGACTACTTTACCCTCTGGTTCTAGGCTGCCAGGGCAATTTTCCCTGGTGATTTTTGAAAGATGCTGTCTGGGATCTTTTTTTTTGATCATGGCTTTCAGGCAGTCCAATAATTCTTAAATTAGCTCTCCTGGATCTATTTTCCAGGTCAGTTTTTCCAATGAGATATTTTATATTTTCTTCTATTTTTTCATTCTTTTGATTTTGTTTGACTAATTCTTGATGTCTCACAGTCATTAGCTTACACTTGCCCAGTTCTAATTTTTAAGGAATTATTTTCTTCAGTTTGTATCTCCTTTTCAATTTGGCCACTTCTACTTTCAAAGTTGTTGTTTTCTTCAGTGGATTTTTTTTTTCCATTTGGCCAATTGTATTTTTCCAGGACTTGTTTTCTTCAATCAATTTTTGTCCTTCCTTTTCTAAGCTGTTGACTCTCTCTTGCATACCTCTCATTTCTTTCCCCAATCTTTCTTTCACCTTGCTTATTTGATTTTTAAAATCCTTTTCGAGCTCTCCTAAGGAGACTTTTTGGTCTTGGGACCAATTCACCTTCCTCTTTGACGACTCACATGTAGGCATTTTGACATTGTTGTCCTCTTCTGAGTTTGTGTTTTGATCTTCCCTGTTGCTATAGTAGCTTTCTATAGTCAGGGCTCTTTTCTGGTTTGGTGTGTGTGTGTTCTCATTTTTCAGGCTATTTTGCAACTTTTAAAGTTGACCTCTGTTCCTTGGGCACAGGGGCCACTGCCCCAAGCCTCTTGTGCTGGGGACCAGGGGCCAGGTCATTGGTTTTCTGTGCTGGGGTCTCTGGGGACTGGCAGTTTGCCCACTGCGCTGGGGTAGTCCAGCCTAGTTACACCTGTCTTGCTCTGGGTTCCAGGGCTGGCAGCTTGCCTGCTGTGCTGGGGCTGGAGGCCTCACAGCTGGCCTGCTATGCCACTGGTCTGCTGAGCCAGGACCGAAGGGCCTCAGTTGCTGATCTGTGCTGTGGCTGAGAACCTCCTGCTGGCTTGCCTGGACACTGCCTGCACTGGCCTGGGCTCCCCTTTTACCCAGCTGACACAGATCTCTCCTGAAGTCCTTGTAAGTTATCTTGGGCTGGAAAATGGTTTCACTCCATTTTTTTGTAGGTTCTATCACTCCAGAATCTGTTCCGATTTAATGCTGTCTCTGAAGGAAACTGGGGAGAGCTGAGGCAATTTCCGGGCTTTTCTCCACTATGTTGGCTCTGCCTTAAAATACTTTCAAAGAACCGTAATTAAATGCCTTCTCATGAACAAAACCAGGCAGTTAGCGAGACAGTGGATTGAGTGCTGGGTCTGGAATCGGGAAGACCTGCATTAAAGTCCAGCCTCAGATGCTCATTGTGAGACCCTGGGCAAATCATTTCACCTCTCCCTGTCTCCGTTTCCTCAGTTATAAAAGGAAGGTAATAAAAGCAGCCACCTTCTAGGGTTATGATGGGGATCAAATGAGACATTTGGAAAGGGCTTAGCATAATGCTGGCACATAGTAGGAGCTTGATAATTGCTTGTTTTCTTCCTGTTTTACCACCCTCCCCTTCAATGTTGCTAGGATAAGAAAGGGAATTGACTGGAAAAATTTTTTCCCCAGTAAATATCCTTAAAAAGGGAATTGATCTAGGTACACCAGATCTCAAACTGCATTATAAAGTGATAATTATGAAAACAATCTGATACTGGCTAAGAAATAGTGTAGTGGATCAGTGGAGTAGAGTAAAATGACCTTAGTAATCTGAAGGGTGATAAATGCAAAGAACCAAGTTTTTGGAATAAAAACTCATTATTTGACAAAACTATTAGGAAATGGGAAATCAGTATGGCAGAAACTAGGTATAGACCAACCTCTCACACCCTATACCACGATAAGGTCAAAATAGGTACATGATTTACACATAAAGGGTGTTAGCATGAGCAAATCAGGAGAGCACAGAATTGGTCAGATATATGAATAAGGAAAGAACTTAGGACCAAAGAAAATATAGAAAGCATTGCAAAATGTAACATAGATAATTTTGATTTATAAAATTAAAGTTTTTGCACAAACAAAACCAATGCAATTAAAATTAAAAGCAGAAAACCGAGGGGAAAAAATTACAATTATCTCTGATAAAGGCCTCATTTGTCAAATATATTTCTCAAACTTTAGTCAAATTTATAAAAATAAAAGTCATTTCCCCAATTGACAAATGGTCAAAGAATATGAATAGGAAGTTTTCAGACAAAGAAATCAAAGCTATCTATAGTCATACAAAAAAATTTTCTAAATCACTGATTTAAAAATGCAAATTAAAATAACTCTGAGGTACCACCTCACATCTATCAGATTGGCTAACATGACAAAAAAGGAAAATGATAAATGTTGGACAGGATGTGGGAAAATTGGGACACTAATGCCCTGTTGGGGTTGTGAACTAATTCAACTATTCTGAAGAGCAATTTGGAATTATGCCCAAAGAGCTGCTAGGCCTGTATGCCAAAGACATTAAAAAAAAAAAAGGTGGTTGGGGGAAAGGGCTTATTTGTACAAAAATAATTACAGCAGCTCTTTTTGTGGGTGGCTAAGAACTGGAAATTGAGGGGATGCCCATCAACTGGGGGGAATGGCTAAACAAGCTGTGGTGTATGGTTGTGATGGAATTACGATTGGGGCGGCTAGGTGGTGCAGTGGAGACAGCACCGGCCCTGGATTCAGGAGGACCTGAGTTCAAATCTGGCCTCAGACACATAACACTAGCTGTGTGACCCTGGGCAAGTCACTTAACCCCACTGCCAAGTCTTACATGAATTGATGCAAAGTGAAGTGAGCAGAACCGGAACACTGTACACAGTAACAGCAATATCATATCATGATCAAATGTGAATGACTTAGCTACTATTCTCAGCAGTACAATGATCTAAAAAAATCCCAAAGACTGAACAATGATGTAGACAAAGAACTGAATACAAACGGAAGCACGCTGGTTTGCACTTTTTTTCTTTCTTTTTAAAAATTTGTCTTCTTGTAAATGTTTCACATGATTACACATGTATAACCTATATCTGACTGCTTACTGTCTCAGGGAGCGGAGAAGAGAGGGACAGAATGTAGAACTCAAAGGGGCAGCTAGGTGGCACAGTGGATAGAGCACCGGCCCTGAAGTCAGGAGGACCTGAGTTCAAATCCAGCCTCAGACCAAACACTTGGCACTTACTAGCTGTGTGACCCTGGGCAAGTCACTTAACCTCAATTGCCTAAAAAAAACAAAAAAAAATGAATTTGGAACTCAAAACTTAAAAAAAAAGTTAAAATCGTTTTAACATATAATCGGGGGAAAAGTATACACCTATATATATGTGTGTATGTATGTATGCATATATGTATGTATGTATGTACATATATGAGAACTGATACATCTAAGTAAGAATAAGAGCCTTTCCCTAAAGTTGATCAAAGGAAATGAACAGGTAGTTTTCAAAATAACCAAAAAAAACAAACGCAATCTGCAACACCCCTGAGGTTTTATCTCCTGCCCATGAGAAGACGAAAAAGTCAAAGGATGAAAATAGTAAAAGTTGGGGAGGGGGGGTGCTTCTGGGAACACAAGCTCACAGGTCTGGGGGGAGCTAGGAATTCGTTCAACTATCATCTAGAATCACACCAGAAAAGGCAAAATTAAGCTGTTCACACCCTCTGCCCCAGAAGGGTCCCAAGATCCTGCAGCCCTTGGTGGCCCTGGGATCCCTGTGGCAATGTCTTTGTTAATGGTGGGGGGGGGGGGTGCTGCCAGGCTTCCTGGAGGCCCCTCTGCTCCAGCCACCCTCGTCCTGAATTATCCCGCTCTCAGCACCCTGAACCAGTGAGCTCTGTGACCCTCGATAGACAGAGCATTAACTCCTTAAGGGTATCCCCAGGGAAGCCAAGGCCCCATGATGAAAGATCAGCTCAGCCCTGAGGCACACAGAGGAAAGTGGATGGCTGTGGAATGGTGAAATGCAGGACAGGGAGGGGCCCTGGAGGCGCCATGCAGGAGGAGTCAGGCAGCCAGAAAGAAAAAGCAGAGCCTCAGGCCCCCTCTTTGACCAGCAGCCCAGGCCGGCCTCCATGCAGAATTAGTACTGCTGCTGTCAGCCGAAGAGAGGACCGGGGAGGCTGGCTGAACAAGCCAAGAGAATGACCAGACCTCTGGACGATGGAGCTGGCAAAGGCAGAGGGGCGGCCCCACGAGTGGCCTGAGGGTGAAGGCTGGGAGTGCCTCCAAGAGGCTGCGGAAGGGGCCGGGGCTCCCAATTGAAAAAGCCATCTCAATCACCCAACAGAACGAGTATTCTGCAACAAAGGAAACTGAGTCAATCAAGTTAGCCAGGTGATGCAGCCAACAGAACTGTGGACCTGCAGTCAGGCACACCTGAGTTCGAATCCTGGCACAGGCACTTAGGGTGGTGACCCTGAGCAAGTCACTTCTCTGTTTCCTCATCTGTAAAATGGGCATGAGCACCAGCTCTCTCCCACGGCTGTGAGGATCCAGTGAGGGCTTTGCACCGTATGCGCAGGGTACCTAAGGTACTAGCAATCATTCTACCCCCCCCCACCCCAAGGAAGGTGGCCTGACAGCAGGGGAGGGGAAGGGGCTCAGCCTCCCAGGGCTCCAGCTGCGGTTTCCAAGAAGGAGCCGCCACAACCCTGAAAGGCGTTAACTCCAAAACCATTTATTTCAGCTGCTTCGTGGGGTGACTGCCCGGCCCCCACCCCACCCCTCTGGCCTCATCCCCGTCTTGGGTGGCCGTGCCGCCCGTGGGATGGGCTCCACGGCCTTTCCTGGTCCCAGTGGGGGCGTGTGGGAGGGGTCCCCAATGGAGTTTGCTATGTATCAGAGGCCGCTGCGGGGAGGGGGTCTGGGCTTCTGTGCCGGTCACTGGGAGAAGCCTCAGGAGTGTCTGGACAGTCCTCTGCCTGGGCCCCCCCAGCAATGGGGGGAAGGGGGAGGGGAGGCGTGCTCTCTGGGGAAGAGCCCCCCGTGGCAGCATCTGACGGGCCATTGGGATGATCCACCCTCTCGAACAAAATCAGCATCTCACAGTGCGGGGTCTGTGGGAACAGGTCCACGGCCACGGCCCGGACTGGGCGGAAGGGAGAGCCCTTCACCCTGTTGGAGGGGGCTCGACAAAGACTGGGGGGAAGAAGAGGGGCGTCAGCGTCCAGCTGGGCCCCAGCTCGATGGCTCTGGGTGGGGCGGTCTCAGGACAAAGGACCTAAGCATGTGGAACGGTCAGGGCGGCCAGGTAGGCGCTGGGAATCCAGCGGCCCTCGGCCCCCTTCTCACCAGACTCGGAGGCGCTCCTACAGCCCCTCGCTTGACCGAGGAGGAGATGGAGGCCCAGAGATGACCCTGGCTGGTAAGAGGCTGGACCTTCATCAGGCAGCTTGGGTCATGGGGCCCCAGCCTGTGGGTGTGTAGGGCTGAGCTTTAGCAAACTCCAAACCTTCTTTCAGTCACAAATTCTTGAGCCCTGGAGATCTTCCTGACCCGACCCCCTTCTGGCCAAAGTGCGGGGGCTGAGGATGGCCCAGGCCCTGCCTCCCCAGCCCTGAGGGCCCCATGCTTTCCTCCCCGCCCCCAGGAGGGGCCCAAGCAGAACTCACTCCACAAAGTTGCTCATGGCTGCCCGGGGATTGCAGGAGACATAGAGGAGTTTTTTCAGGTGCTCAGCTCTCCGGATAGCCAGGATGACTTTGGAGTCTGCACAGAGGGCACAGAGTTCAGTGTGCAGCAGACCCAGGCCAGCCGGGCCAGAGGCCACGCTGCATTCCCAGGGGGGCCCTCCTTCCCAAGTCCTCGTGCCCAGCCCAAGTCCTCGTCACTCACGCAGCCCTGCTCGGGGTGGATCCACGATGGCGGTCAGCTTCTGCGAGGCCAAGGAACTCATCAGGGAGGGGACCAGGTCCTCAGCCTTGCCACAATGAAACTCGATGTTGTCCAGGGCTGCAGGGGAGAGAACCCCAAGAGCTAGGCCCCAGCATCCCTGGCTACGTGGGCAGCTCCAATGGCCGGGCCCAGAACTGCTGGACCCCAAGGACAGCAGGGCCACGATCTCCATTTCCCCCGAGTCACAGGCCACCGGGAGGGGTCCAGTGGGGCCCCTCCTCTTGGCCACTCACGGGGTCTCCTTTTCTTTCCCAGGAGCTTAGCCTAACCTGCCCTGTCCCCAGAGCTCCCAGTCCTGCTCTCCCAGGCCACCCTGTGGTCTCATCCCGTTCCACATGAACATGAGGGCACTTGGTTTCCCCTGCACATGTGTGTGTACACACATGCACACACGCACGCACACACGCACGCGTGCACACCTGGCTCGACCCTGGGAATGGCTGCTCCTCCAGCCCCAGGCCCCTTCCTTCCCCAGCAAGGGCTATAAGACCAACCAACCATTAATCTTGGCATTCACTCGGGCATCTTCCACAGCTTCTTGGCACAGCTCAATGCCAATTACTTTCTTCACTTTCTAGAAAAGAGGAGAAAAGGACTCAGGCTCCACCTGCGAGCCTCCTCGGGGACCTGAGACTCCGTTGGTGCGAGGACTCCTCCGCTGAGGGAAGGCAGCCTCTCCTCTGTCACTCAAGGCCCTGAGATGAGCAGTGACTGACCCAGGGCCACACAGCCAGCGGGGGTCAGGGAGGGGCCTGAACCCTGTCCTCCCGCCTCCAAGGCTCCTCCCAGTTTGTAGGTGAGGAATGTGGGGCTCACGGCAGCAGAGATGCCCATCTCAGGTCCCAGAGCTCATGACCATCGGTCAGACATTCCCCACCTTTCACTCTCCCACAAGGATGTCTCCCCTCTCCCACTGTCACAGCCCAAGCCCCGCCTCCTCAGGTCACCTAGGACCCTGGAGGCCAGCTGGGCAGGGCCTTGGAAGAGGTGCCCTCTGGGGTCCCAGAGCGGTCAGGCTCGAGCTCACCTGGGCCAGGGAGAGGCTGATGGTGCCGGTCCCGCAGCAGACATCCAGCACTGTGCTTTCCCTGTCCAGCTGCGCCCAGTCCTGAATGGTTGTGTAGAGGACCTCGGCGGCTGGCGTGTTCACCTGGGGAACCACAGCTGGGATGACCGCCAGAACCCAGAGAGCCTCCATTTCCCTCTCCTGCCACCTCCACAGGGCCACCCGGAGCGCTGCTGAGGCCTCACTTAGCCTCACGTCCTCTCACAGAGGCCCCAGGGCACAGGGAGGGCTCTGGAACAAGCTGGGCAAGAATGACCCAGAACCAATGTGCCCAGGTGAGCCCCAGGACACCTTACCGAGCAGAGGAATGAGCCCAGGAGAGGCAGAACCAAGACATTGATTAAGCACCACTACATACCAGGCACTGTGCTAAGCACCGAACGTGCAAAGGGGGGCAGAGGCAGCCCCTGCCCCCAAGCAGCTCCCACTCTAGTGGGGCAGACAAGAGAGGCTAGAAAAGGATGGGGAGATGACCCGAAGGGGTGTGAGTTTCAGGGCTGCCCTCCTCTGCCAGAATGATAAGTTTCTACAGGTAGTGACATCTTAGACCCAACATGAGCACAACCTTCCCCTCCCCCCGCCCTCCCTTTTACTGATGAGGGCACTGCCCTCTTCCCAGTCCCTCAGGCCCCTAACCCAGGAGTCATCCTGGACTGTTCACTCTCACCCCCCCACCCCCACATTCAACATGGCGCCAGGGCCTGTCGATTCCACCTCTGCGACTGTCTCTCAAATACGCCCCATCTACCACTCTGGTGCAGACCGTCATCACCTCATGCTGGACCACTGCCATAGCCTGGGTGGGAGGGGTCTGCTGCCTCCACACCATCCTTCATTCAGCTTCCAAAGGGATCAGGTCTGACCATGTCGTCCCTAGTACAGCCTCCAGGATTTGTACAAAATGTTGGTGATGGCCTTCCAAGCTCTCCACGAGCTGAGCTACCCCTCCTCCCTTTCCTGCCTTCCTACACCACTCCCTACCACACACTCTTTGGTCCAGCGACCCCGGCCTCCTGGCCATCCCACCTCTGTGCCTCTGTGTGGTCAGCTGACCCTCCTGACCAGAACGCCCTTCCTCACATCCCACTCTTGGAATTCCCTGGCTTCCTTCACCTAAGGAACCCCTGTAAGGTCCCCTTCCACTTACTCTCCCCACCCCACCATCAGTAAGCATGGCCCCACTCTCGTCCCCAGGGGGAAAGAAAGGAAAGTCATGCCCAAAGCCCCTCTTCTGGAGCGGCCCTGTTCCATCTGCTCACCCCTGGTTCTGAGAGGTCAGGACAGTGCTCTCAGGACTCCTTGAAATGGTACCCTGGCTCTTGGGCGGTCCACTCATTCTCAGACTCCCCTGGATCTATGCTCCTGGTGGGTCGTTTTTGATGGGAGGCATGTGACAGTTTCTTCTGACTTTGTATTTCTAGTTCATACTTTCTCAGGGAGTCATTCATTCCTATTTGATCTATTTTAGTTTGGGGGGACGTGGTTTTGTGCCTCTAGTGTTAAACTCTTAATTCCCTTTTTAAGTTTCTCCTCCACAGCTCGCATCTTTTCCAGTTCTTTCCTCTAATATTCTCAATTCACTTAGGCCATTTAAAAATTCTTCCATCACCTTTCTAGGAATTCTATTGGATTCAGTGGGAAATCTGTCTTTTTTTTTGAGGCTCTGCTCTGAAGTGTTGGAATTATTCTCCTCTTCTGAATTGGAGTCTCGGGCATCCCTGGCCTCATAATAGCTAGGTGGTGTAGTGGGTACAGTCCTGGGCATGAAGTCAGGACCCGAGTTCCAATACAGCCCCAGACACGTACTAGCTGTGTGGGATAGTGTGTCACTTGGGCAAGTCGCTTAACCCTTGTTTGCCTCAGTTTCCTCAACTGTAAAATGGGGATAATAACAGCACCTATGTCTCAAGGTTGTTGAAAGGATTAAATGGGAAGATATCTGTAAAGCACTGGGAACAGCACCTGGCACACAGCAGGCGCTATATATTCATTCCCTTCTCTTCCCTGTGCCCTCCAGCTCTCCTTTCTTCATTTCCTTCCCTCCATCTTAGGAATTCTGCCCACGCTCTTCTCCATTTTAAAAACGCTCACTCAAACAGCAAACGAAGCCAGGACTTTCACAGACAGAGCAGATGCGGCCCTCACCTATCCTTCCACGGCCAGCTCAGCTCTGGTGGGCAGCCAGCCCAGGCCCCTCCTCGGGTGAGGCCAAACGCTCCCCCTTGAACCTCCCAGACAGCCCTGATGACTCTGGGGGAGCGTGAGAGCCAGCAGGGGCCTCACTGGCTACCTAGTCCAACCTGACAGGAGAAAGCCTCCTTTCCCATGTGCCCCCAAAGGACCAGCCCAGCCCCCATCCTCGCCTCTCCCCCAGCTGTGCAGTACAAGGCCTTCACAAATCCTCCCCATCTTCTTGCCCGGCCCCTGCCATCCAGTCACATCTGGGGGAGGTCAGGGGGATGGTCACTCCTGTCCCAAAACCTTCCTCCAAGGACAGGCAGCAGAAGGCCCGGGCCCTAATCCCAGCTTGGACGCCTCCTGGCCCAGTGGTCCCAGGCCAGTGCCTTCCACTCTCAAAGCTACACTTTCCTTACCCTAAAAATGGGAATAACACCACGTGCACTGCCCACCTCGTAGGTCTGTCATGGGGAAAGTGCCAAGTGATCAGAAGTCACTATCATTTTGGGGGTTCCGACCTGTGACAGCAGTGACGTTAAACTCAAATAGAGATGGGGACCGTGGGTGCTACGGACTCAGAAAACCACAGACTGACATTATCTACGTTGCGTGGCACCTGTTTCTCAATTCCATCGGAACCTCTCAGGTGACTACATGACCATCACTGCCGCTCCAGTGACTGGCCTGGGAGCGAGGCGCGACATGATGATGGCCAAGAGCCAGGGGCCTTGGAGAAGCAGGGCTTCCCGTTTGCTGAACTGATTTCAAACTGAGGCCGAATGAGTGCAGGAAGGGCCTTGGCTCGGGCCTTACCGTGATTAAGGCCTTCAATCTAGCGCTCTCTACAGAGTGGACACCTCCTACAGACAGGGAAACTGAGGTGCACTGCTTGGCTGCAGGGCCGCTGATGGATTTGCTCCCAGAGGACCAGGTGTGAAGGCCTGCAGCAGCTAAGGCTCAGCCTGGTCATAACATCTGAGAAAACTTCAGGCCTGATCTTGGCTGGCTCTGCCACCAGCTGCAAGGTGGCTTTTGACATGTCCCTTCCCATCTCGGGGCTTCAGTTCCCTCATCAGACTGTGCTCAGCACATCCCTGGGACCCCAAAGCCTCACACACAACCCGCTCCTCCCCCTGGAAGGGGGTGTTGATGGGCTGCCCTCTGGGCTCCCTCCCCATCCCAAGGAGTCCCCAGAGCTGCTCCACAGGTCTCTCCAGAAGGGTCTCCAGAGTCCTTTCAGCTTTAAATATTCTGTGCCTTCTCACAGAAACCCTCATTCCACCTCTGACCCACCTACACCCTACGATCCAGTGACCTGGAACCCCGGGCCCCCCACGCCTGGAGCACAGCCCCTTCCTCTCCTGGCTTCAAACCTCACCAAGTCCCTCCCAGTGGTTCATACTCTTGATGCCTTCCCTCCGCTCATTTCTTCCCACTGTACACAACTGTCTCCATGCCGTCTCCCCCCTTACACCGGGAACTCCTCCTGGGCAGGGGTTTTGCCTTTCTCCGTAACCTCAGGCTCTTAGCATGGTGCCTGGGGCACAACACAGCCGGTGCTTAAGCAATGCCAGCTGGCATACCTGGAAAAATGCATGAGGGGAAATCCGGAACTTGAGCCCCAGAAGCTCCTCGTGTATGTACTTCTCTCCGGCGATGTGCTCCAAGGGCAGGTCCTCTCTGTTGGGAGACTTTCTGAGGACAGAAAACAGGAAAACGCCTCCAGCACAGGGCAAGCCAGAGTGGACATACAGGGGTCCCTCTCTTCAGACTCTAAGTCACAGAACAGCCACCACTCAGCTCACGGAGGGACCCTTGGTCTGGGCCTCGCTTCCTTCCCCAAGCCCTCTCCTATTCTAACACCAAGAACTGTGCCGCCCACCTGGCGAGGCCCCGGGCCCGCCCTCTCCCTCCTCCCCAGGCCATGGCCAGGCCGGGAGTGCCCAGGGATGCCTTACCTCTGCCCCTCCTCCACGAAGTAGAGAGAGGTCACCCCACTGAGCCGGCCGGGATCCTCCGTGAAGTGCTGACCGAGGGAGGCTTTCAGTCCCACCAGTTCTTCTTTACTGAGTTTCTGGAGGACCAAGAGAAAAGGCCACACTCAGGGACTCAGACACTCTGGCCTGCCTGACGGGGGAGCCTTTGGCTCAGTCTGGTGAGGGCGCCCGGGTTGTCGCTGCCCCAGGCAGAATCAGACAGGCGCTGAGCCAAGAATGTTGTGTCCTGGCTGCTGGAGCAGCCTGGAGGCCTCAGGGGCCAGTCAGGGAGACTTGGCTAGGAAGCCCCCCTGGGCAGCAAGTGCTTACTCTGAGCCTGTTTCCTCATCTGTAAATTCTCTGTGACTCGCTCCTTCTGCCTCCTTGACTGGATCCTTCTCCAGGTCATGCCCTCTCACCATCCATGACCCTCAGGGCTCAGGCCTGTGCCCTCTGCTCAGCTCCCGGGGACTTAATGACCACCTCTGTGCTGATGACTCTCAGACCTCCCTGGCCCGCCCCTGCCCCTCCGCCGACCTCTCGGCTCACATCTCCTATCACCTCTCGGACCAATCCCACCGGAAGCCCAGGAGACACTTACGCTTCCCTCTCCTCCCTTCCCTATTACTGTTGAGGGTACCGCCCTCCTCCCGGGACTCAACATCTCACTCCCCGTATCCAATCTGGTGCCAAGGCCTGTCGATGTTACCTCTGCAGCATCTCTCGAATTCGCCCCCCTCTCTCCTCAGATGCCGCCTCCACCCTGGTGCAGGCCCTCATCACCTCACACCAGGACTATCAGAATCACCTGCAGGCGGCTCTCCCCACTCCACACCATCCTCCACTCAGCCACCAAAGGGTCAGGAAGGACCGAGCCACCCCCTCTTCAGTAAACTCCCATGGCTCCCTATGGCCTCCAGGATGAAACACAACATGCTCTGGTTGGCCTTCAAAGCTCTCCATAACCTGCCCCTCCTCCCTTTCCAGGCTTTCTATGCCTTTCTCTCCTCCAGTGACACCGGCTCCCAGCTGGTCCCTGAGTGAGACCCTCCGTCTCTCAGCTGTGGGCTGCCCCTCCCCCGTGCCTGGCCCACTCTTGACCTCTGACCTCCCTTTAAGTCCCACCTAAAACCCCACCTTCTTCAGGAAGCCTCTCCCAAGCCTCTTCATTCTGTCCATTATTTCCTATTTATCCCGCAGGCACACAGCTTGCTTTGAACATATTTGTTTGCTTGTCTCCCCCATTAGACTGTGAGCTCCCTGAAGGCAGGGACTGGCTTTTGCCTCTTTTGGTATCCCCAGGACTTAGCACAGTGCCTGGCACATAGCAGATGCTTAATAAATGTTTATGGATTGATGGACACTCTCTGAAGCCCCCACTTCATAGGAAGTTTGAGAGATCATGTCTGCAAAGCGACAATGTTATTATTGTCAATAATAATGATAGCTAACGTTTACATTCACTCCTGCTGTGTGCTAAGCGCTTTACCATCATTATCTCATTTGATCCTCACAACAACCCTAGGAGGGAGGGGCTGTTATCACTCCCACTTTACAGATGAAGAAACTGAGGCAGGCAGAGGCAAAGTGATTTGGCCAGGATCACACAGCTATTAGTGTCTGAGGCTGGATTTGAACCCAGGCCTTCCAGCCTCCAGGTCCAGTGCTCTGCGCTCTGTGCACAGCGCCACCAAGCTGTTATTTCCACTGGTCTCTTGGCACCCCAAGGCCTTCCTGACTTCCCTCCAGAGCACCCCCTGACCTTCCTGGGGCCCACGATTACTGCAGGACCTCCCCGAAGCATCTCCAGAGCCCCAGCCCGAGCCTCGGGCTTCCTGGCAGCGGGGACGAGCCAGACGCACAGGATGGACATCCTGCACAGCACACCGAGTCCGGCTCAGCAAGGAGAGAAACCCTTGGTGCTCCTTCCCAGGGCTTTGATTTTTGGTGATTCACCAAGGGTCCCTCCTTCTTCCAGGGGCTGAACCCCTCAGGGGGTGAGAAACATTGCCAGGGATCCCCCCCCAGACCCCACCAGCTCAGGCCTGGCCAGAAGCTCTTTGGGCCTGGAATAAAAGTGACCAATTTGAACCCTTTGTCCTCCACCTGAATAGTACCACGAGGAGATGAGTCCCTTCTCCTCTCTGTGCCTCAGTTTCCTCATCTATAAAATGAGGGGGTTTGCCTCAGTCCTCCAAGGTTTTCCTCTGGGCCCAGATCCAGAATCCTACCCACGGTCCTGCCTCTGGGACCCTCATCAGATGACTTTACACCTTGTTGGATCTCGCTCTTTCATCTGTATGTGGAAGGCGGCAAAGCAGGATGCCTGAGTGGCCCCTTACAGCTCTCTCTACCACCTGCACCTGAATAACTGAGAACTGAACCCTTCTTCTCAAAGAGAGAACAAAGCAGCCCATGGGGCTGCCAGTCCATAAGAAAGAACACCAGGAACACAAGACCTGGGGCAGTTCTCATGCTGGGGGACTCTGGGTATGGCCCTGTCCATCTGAGCCTCTGTTTTTTCATCTGTAAAATGGGGATAAGAATCTCAAAATGTGTCTTCTGGGCTTTCAAGTGCAGCAGGCCCAGAACCGTCGCTATCCCTCTTCTCTCTGAGGCCTCCGGGACGTCCCAGGGGAAGCGTTCCGAGGCCAAAAAGGGCCTCGCAGGCGGAGGCACAAAAGCAGGTACCTGGGGGTGGAAGTAGACGATTGCCATGATCTCCCCACTGCGGCTGGTGCGCACCGTGAGCTGCCGCCAGTGCCCCTCGTACGTCTCCGGGCTATACACAGAGTAGGGGGTCGACCTGCAAAGAGCCACTCCCAACATCAGCCCCCACGCTCCAGAGAGCACTCCTCTTGTTTCACTCTGGGCTAAGCCACTGCCACCAGAAGGCTGGCTAGCTCCTGGTAAAAGCGATCCAGCTAGGGATAAAGATACCCAAAAGCCAGGGATGCCAGATGTCAGCATCCAGCCACAGGCTCTGGGAAAAGCCTGAGAGGTGGCAGCAAATCTGGACACGTTCAACTGACCTCATCTGTCCTCAAAAGGCCACCTTTTCATTCCTTTACCTGGGAGCAGAGGATGCTTGCTAAGCCTGGGGCTGCCTGCAAAGTGCCTCCCCATCATCTCTCTCTGGGGGCCGCTAAGAGCTCTTCTTGTCCAGCCCCTCCCCCTCCTCCCTCAGCCACATCTGCCACAGCCCAGGGCTGGCCTCCTCTCTGCAAGGGCCCCATTCTGCTAACTGGGAGGGGGAACAAGAGGCCTTCCCATGCTCCTTCAAGGAAAGGCTCAGCTCTCACAGGCCTCACTCACCGAATATACTCCTGGAAAGCCCGGACCACATGCTTGGTGCCTGACGGGATGTGGATGGTGTCAAAGGGCTCCACCACTGCACACGTGCCGCCCTTGTACTTGCCCAGGCGGCAGCCCACCGTCTTATCTGCTTGGTCCACGCCCACGCCAATCAGGAACTCACACTTGTTGCGGTATTCAGTCTGAGGAAAGAAAACGGACGCGCTGGCCAAGCTGTTTCCCTTCACAAGAAACACACTGAAATTGTGGCTTGAGTCCAAGGCACCAAGTCCCAAGTGTCTGGTTCAGCAGGATCTTCACCCGAGCATGAGGACAGCACGATGGCCTCGCTCCCTTGCCCTCGAGACCGCCAAGGTGTGGCAGAGAGCTCCAACTGTTAGCTTTTTGGTTTTAAGAAAAAAAAGCCCCCCCCCAACACGCTCATGTAGATGTACCAAACACATACCCCATCTTCTATGTTATCACCTCTCTTTCCAAACCCCGCCACCTCCAGAGAATCAGCCCTTGTAATGAAGGGTTAAAAAAAAAAAACGGCAGCTCAGTACAAGTAACTAAACAACGTGGACAGTCAGTGTATGCAGGGCTCCATACCTGCAGGCCCGGGTCTCCAAGAAGAAGGGGAAGGGTCCATTTTCTCCCTTTTTGTGACGTGGCTTAAAGTACAGTCTGTACTAGGGAGGGAGGGGACAAAGACAACAAGCTATCAGGGACATGAAGAGTGAAAGGGATGCCTTCTAGTCGAGGGGGACCCCCGGGCCGCCCTTCCTTCTCTGTGCCGTGTTCACGAGAACAGAGTCCAAGCAAGGAGCAGGCAGGAGCGCTGGCCTTCGCCCTGGCCAGTCCTGGAAGGACACGGATCAGCAGAGCGCCCAGGGCAGGCGCAGGGAACGGGGAGGGGCCACAGCCAGGCCTGGCTGTCCTCAAGCCCTCTGAAGGGCTACCAGGCAGACTGACCACTTGTCAGGGACACTCTGAAGGGGATTCCAGGTCTGCCCGGTGACATCCCCTGGACCACAGATGCTGAGGCAGAAGGGAGCCCGGAGCTCAGCCCCTCGTTTTAGAGACAGGAGACCGGGGCCCGGAGAGAGGACGAGGGCTGGCCTGCCCAGTCCAGCCCGTTCCAGGCTGCCTGTCCTAAATCACAGACTTCGAGGTCCCTCGTGCCCTCTCCCCTTTACAGAGCCCACGGGCTGAGGCAGGCCCTCACTGCTGCTGTGTGATCGGCAGAACCGGGGTTTGGTCCTCCTACACATCTGTCGCTAGTTTTCATTTTTTTATCGCCAGCTCCCCTGCCCTCCAGGAGAAGCCAAGCAGAAGCCCCCTTCCCCACCTGCCCTGGCAGGTCTGTCCAGAATGCAAGTCTCAGTCTGTTTGCCCTGCCCCCCAAAGCCATAGCTCTCTGAGCCCTGGGGACACTCTGGCTCTGGGAAGGTGGGGCAGGAGGCCTGGTCACCTCTGTGGGTGTCTCTGAAGGCCGGTTCCAGACCACAAACATTCACTGGGTTGCCCAGAGGTACTAGGATATAGCCAGGCTTGGTGGGGAGATACCCATGCCCTGATCAGGAGGGGTCCCACTGGGCATACAAGAAGGGACAGAGAACGAGGGCTAACCTCACTGCTGGACCCACCTCTTGCTCCCATGATCCAGGAGTTGGGCAAGGACCTCACTCCTCCACGTCCTACTGCCCCTCTAAGACCCTGCTTAAACCCAGCCCTCCCCAACACCCATCTCAGCTGAAGGCATCACAGGCACTGTGGGCTTCATGCCGACAGGGGGCTGGGGTACAGATGCCAGCCCTGCCATGAGTCACCTGTGTAGCCTTGGGCAAGGCCCTGCCCTTCTTTGGGTCTCAGTTTCTCTCATCCTCAAAATTCTGGGGTGGCCATGGAAGGGAGGCAATGGGCTAGAGAGGCTACAGTGCCATGGTGGGCTCACCTTGTCACAAGGGGAGCCAAGGGAAAGTCACAGTGACATTAACAAAGGACACAGGGAAACACAGAGCCGGCCGCGGTCACAGCTCTGGCCAATGTGCAGCTGTTGTAGAGAAGGCCGGGCAGGAGGTGGTGTGGACACCGATCAGGCATGGCAGATGCGGGGAAGGAGAAAGTGGGGGTCTTTTACTCATCGAGATGACTTTGTGACTCACAAAAAGTGGGTGCAGGTGGATGCACGAATGCGCAAAAGTACCGTGTTTCACTGCCTCATCATAGCAGAGCTCATGCCATTTTTGTTCTGCAAAGAAGCGGGGTGTGGCCATTATGTGAAGCTTTTTAAAAAAACTTGTTTCAGTATTATTTAAAAATCATTTATTGCTAAACTGTATCGCTGACAGGCAAACTGCCCAATTTAGCTAGCGCGGGGAGACGCAGTCTCACCATATCACACGACTTATTCATGGCAGCTTGGCCTGCCCACACCTACAGCTCTTCACAGGGTTGAGTGACGATACTGTAAGTGCCGCGGCACTCAGCTTTGGAAAGATGCTTGCAATGTGCAAGAGATAAATGCATACCCACAGGCCCCTGGTGAACACATTGCTGCTCTGTTTACCTTTCAAAGAACATATAGCACACAACGATTACAGGATGAAAGGGGATAAACCCATTTTTGGACTGAAAAAACAAAAAATCAAAAACCGGGTGTGACAATTAGGCTGTGGCAAAGATTATGTGGTGAAATAAGGTAAGTTTTCAATAATATGCCTAATTAAAAATCAAATAAAATGGTAAAACGGGGCTCCTGTTTGCTCTGAGGCCAGGGTTAACACCATCAGAGCATGACAACCGGAGCCTCAGGCGACACAGACCAGCCCGGGGCGGCCGGTGCCCTCACTTCCCAAGCCGGGAGCGGGCCCCGTGACCTCACCTGAAGCGGGGACGCCTTGACACCTTCCAGGGGGCAGCAGATCCTGTTGAATTTCTGCTTTTGCACAAACAGCCAGGGCAGCAGGGCACGGTTGTTGTTCCCAATCTCCCTGGAAGACAGCAGACAAGGGCATGCTCGGCCTGGCCGATACAGGACAGCTGCCTCCTGGCCTCCCACCCCAGGGTACAGGGCACCAAGTCCCGGCTCCTCCTCGCCATGGGCTCCAGGGCAGACCAGCCCTATCTGAGGAGGCCGAGAGGGGGCCAGACCCGCCAAGGGTCCGCCATTGTGCTGGTCACAGAACAGTCCAGAGACTCCAGGGCAACAGGAGGGGCTGTTCCCCAAACTGAGGCCCTGGCAGGAGGGTAGGGGTTGAAGATCCTGATAAAGCAATATGGCACACTAGAGCTGCTAAGAACTGGGTTCACATCCCGCTACTGAAAGACACTGGCTCCAGAACCACAAGCCAGTCACTGGACCTCTCTGAGCCTCAGTTTCCTCATTTGTAAAATGAGACTAAGATTAGTCACATGACCTCAAATGAGATCACATGTGCAAAATGATTTATAAACCTCAAAATGCTGTGTAAGCAGGTCCTTGATCTAACAATTCACGGCTAGTCTGTCCCCCCCAATGAGCCAATCAGACTGGCTGGCCTAGTGTGCCTCCGGGCCTTTGCAGAGGCTGTGCCCTATGTCAAGAGTGACCTCCCAGAAGACCTGTTCCTTCAGGGCACAACTCAGATGCCACCTCAGGCTCCCCAAAGTTGTTAGAGCTCTCCCATCCTCCACCAGAAAACAACTTAACAGACGCCTAGAATTTCCTGCAGGTGGCTGCTGGGAGCTGACCACCTCTGGGCATTCCCAGGGCCTTCTTCTCTCCTGCAAGTGGCCTGAGGCAAGGGACTAGGGTGGGGACACAGCCTGAACAAAGGGCCCTGGGACCTCCACCTCCTAGTTACAGATACCACCAACTTGCTTTATTGATGGAGAAACTGAGGCCCAAAGGAGGGCAGTGATCTCACACTCTGTGTCTGAGGCTTCTGACTATGAACGGGCTGTCTGAGATGAACACACACACACACAGGAGATGTGACCGGCGCAGCTCCCTCCTCTCAAAGGATGGGAGCAGAGTTGCAGCCATAACCCACAACACCGAGAACAGGCCAGGTGGCCAACAGATGTTAGCTGAAGGGATGGATGACCGGGAGCGCGTGGGAGCACAGGGAGTCCCCAGCTTAGCCAGCAAGGAGTTAAGTGCTTAGCATCGTAGTAACAGAGGGCACTTGGCTAGTGCTTGAAAGGTTGCAGACTTCTTTCCATTCAGTCTCTTGACTCCTTCCAACCCCTGAGGAGAACGGCTCCCTACACTATTACCACCCCCATTTCACAAATGAGAAAACTGAGGCTCAGATGAAGCAATCTGTCCAGGGTCCCAGGCAGGACTGGGACCCAGGTCTCTCCAGACCCCCAGACTGCCCCTTCCAGTGTCACAGAGTCATCTTTGGAAAAATGTTTGGTGGCTGTCAAATCCAAGGGAGGTAGGGCTGACCGGGCTGCTCTTGACCTTTCCCTCTTCCCTGGGCCGGCTGGTCTGTGGGGGGCAGGCAACACATCTGTGCCCTCCCAACATACTGGGGGCTCTTCAGAAATCTGCTGGCTGAACATGGGGAGCAGTGAGGACAGATCACGGAGTCAAGGTGAGAAAGAACCAACTTTCCAAGACAGAATGGGCTGCTCTGGTAGGTAGTGAGCCAGCCGTCACCAGAGCTTTCCTAGTGTCTTGTGGAGGGAGGGCTCGGCCCAGGCAGCTACCCCTTCCCCTTCAGGGGCCTAGGAAGCACCCTGGTCCAGGGGTCCTCGGCCCACCCATTTCACGAGGGGGAATCTGGCGGGGGGAGCTCACTGGCTCTCAGCCCTGGACGTGATGCCTAGCCTCCTGCGGCTGTGTGCCCCCTCCCCTCCCAGGACTTACTTGGTCAGTTTCTGCAGGACCTGCTCACACTCCTGCTGCTTCTTTTCCAGCTGCTCCTCGTAGGGGAGGGTCCAGAGGGGGGTGACCACGTCGGCGATCTGCTTGGCCATGGGCTCCTCGGCGGAGGAGGCCGCTGCAGCCACCACTGCCCCCTGGACTGGCCGCTTGGCCTCGCCCTGCCCCCCATCTTCTCCCTCCCTCTTCCTCTTCTTGGCCATGGGGTCGGCTTTGGGCTTGGCCAGCCTGATGCTTAGGCAGCGGCCCTTCCACAGCGCCCCGTGGAGCACCTTCATGGCCTTGTCCCGCTCCTCCTCGCTCTTGAAGGTCACGAAGGCGAAAGTCTGCTTCCCGAAGAGCTTGGTCTTGTGGGGGTGCAGGCCGTACTTGGCCAGAAACTTCTTCACATCATTGAAGCCCACGTAGCGGGGCACGTTCTGGATCTCCACCTTGTAGATCTCGGAGGTGAACAGGTCGTCCTTGATGTAGCGGTACATGCCTGGGCCGCCGGGGGCCTCCTCGGGGGTCCCGGCACCATCCGGGGGGTCCTCTGCCTCCTGCATCTCCCCCCTCACCTTCACAGGCTCGGCAGGAGGGTCTCTCCTAGCTGTCCCCTCTTCCTCTTCCATCGTCCCCACCTCTGCAGGGAGAAAAGAAGAGGCATCAGCCCACTCTCCCAACCAGGGGTGGCCAACCTGCATCTGTGGCGCTCTGGGCTGCTTCTGTGGGGGGGGGGGAAGGACTGGGCTTCCATCAGGGGAAGGGCCACATGATGGCAAAGCCTGGCTGGGAGCTCACTACCTCTCAAACCCCAGGTCGCCATCTGTGGAACCAGAGGCACTGAGCCCTCGGGCAAGGACCAGCCAAGATGCCCTGTTCTGGGAAGAGGAGACCAGGTGGACCTCTTGGGGGCCCTTGGAGCAAACGGGTACAAGAGGAGGAGCCCCAGATTGGGAGGCAGAGGACCCGGCTTCGAGCCCCAGCTGTGCTCCTCCATGCCTTTGGGCAAGTCCTCCTGAATCCCAGGGTCCTCCTCTCACCGCCGCCCCCACTCACCCCCAGCGCACATAGTAGGTGGGGCAGGAGGACAGAGGAGACCACCGCAGTCCCCAGACTAAGCCCCCCTAGACTGCACGGCCTCTGCCTGTCCCAGACCTATGACCCCACAAGAAGCAGAGGGGGGAGGGGAGCACTGGAAGCCCCCCACCCCAGGGAGGGTCAGCTCTTGGGGTGAGTGGGCTGGAGGAATGGTCCTCAGTGCTAGGGGAGGCAGGGACCCTGGCGGGCACCTGGGCCACCAAGAGGCGCCTCCGTCCAGGGAAGGGCTGGGGGCTTCTTGAGGATAGGGGCAGGACGGACCCCTCCCCCTGGGCGGGTATGGGAGGCTCAGACCACGCACCCTCGCTGGCCTCGGGGCCGCCGACTCGCTCTGGCCACCCGAGTGGGGCTCGAACCCGTGGCCCAGAAAGGCTGCTCTCGACCCTCACCCTTATGCCAGGGACACGCGGCCCCCAGTGCCTTCTGGCTACACTTCCACCGCGCAGGCGTACCACTTCCACCATCGCGCATGCGCACTACGCCTCCACGCAGCCGCACCACCCCCACCGCGTCTGTCAGCCCGCCCGCCTCTCAAAGCCATCCCTCCCTCTGAGGCGGAGCCGCGCCATATACGTCATCACGTCCCGCCCTGACGCACCAACAGCCTCCTTCGGTCTCGGCCTCTTCCCGTCTCGTAGTGATTCTCCTCGGAAACCCGCCCCTTTCATTGGCCCTGCTCCCGCCCCCGCCGCTCTCAACCCATTAAAGACTCTGGGCTTGAAAACGGAAGTGGGCGGTCGCTTTCGGCGCGGCCGGAAGTGGGCGCGGCCGTCGCAGTGGCCGTCGGGAAGGCGGGAGCCGCGGCCTGGTTGGGGCACAAAGCCCCGGGCGGGGCGGAGTGGGGGCGTTTCTTGGAGTCGGGGGCGCGCCCGCGCGCCCGCGGCCCGGCGCGCGGCGCTTTGGGCGGGAAGCCGGAGGGGGCGGAGAGAGCAGGCGGAAGGAGGGGCGGGGCAGGACAATGGCTTGTCCGCAGCCCGCGGCCCCGGCGCCTCAATAAAGTTGCGTTGGTTTTGAATGCGCGGGGGCGGGGGCGTGTTTCCCGCCGCCGCCGGGGTCAAGGGGCCGGGGTCGCGCGCGCGCGCGGGCGGCGGGGCTGAGCTGAGGTAAGAGCGGGGCGAGCAGGCGCCAGCGCCAGACGAGGTACGGACCGGATCGGACCGAGCGCCGCCGCACCGCCGGGACCAACCACCGCCGCCGCCGCCGCCGCATCATCGCCTCCCGCTCCGATGGCGGCTGCCAAGGTGCGTGCTCGTGCGCGGGGCCCGCCGGGCCGGCACGGGGGGAAGCGGCCCGGCCGCCGCGCTGGGGGCGCCCGCCAGGGCCGAGGCTGGCCGGCCGCGCGTGGCCTCTCCGGGCCTCCGTAGGCCTCGGCCGAGACTGGGGGGGACCGGGGCGGGGAGGCCAGGCCGGGCCCAGGCCCCCGATGGGCGCGGAGCTCGGCGGGCGGCGGGCGGCGCGGCCCGTGCTCTAGGCCGGCTCGGCGGGGCCCCGGCGGCCACGTGGGCCCCGGGCCGGGGAGGCACGTGGGCGGGGGGACACGGGAGCCGCCTGGCGGCGGGGCCTCGGCCTGCCAGAGGGTCCCGGGCCCCGGGCCCCAAAGGAGGCCTCGCGGTCCCTCCTGGGCCCCCTCCCTGCCAGGCCAAGGTCACGCGGGGAGCGGGAGCCAGGCGGCGGGGTCCGAGCGGGCGTCTCGGCTGACAGCATCCTCCGCGCAGGCCTTGGGGACTGGGGGGGGGCGGGCGGTGTCGGCCCTAGGCCTCGAGCCCTGGGTGATCCATGAGGCCTTGGTGCTGCAACAGGAAGCGGGTGGAGGAGGGGAGCCTCACCCCCCCCCCCCCCCCCCCCCCCCGATCCCGGCCCAGTCACACTCGGGCCCAGAGGGTTCCCCGGCCCGGGAGTCCGTACAGTGGCCCATCGTGTCCTCCCGGCTCTGCGGCCCGAAGGTCAAGACGCGCTCCCGAGAACGTTCTTCCTCCGGAACTGAAAACGACTCGGATCCTCGTAACTGGAGACGTTGATGCCTTTTGGCAAGATTTAAAGCACATCGTTTCAAGAGAACGGCCGCGGAGGAGTCTCTCCACAGAGCGGGGCCTGGCCCGGAGCCCGGCTGTCCGTACGCTGGACGTGCCGCTTCGATGGCCAGTTGAGTAAATTGGAGTACAGACCCGTCCAAAAATTCAGCTCCAGGCTGAGACTTTCTTCCACATACGTGTCCGGAATTTTAATGAAATCAAGTCTGTCATTGCTGCTGTAAAGATGTGCCAGTCTGCTCCCCGTGGCTTCACTGAGCATCCCAGCAAGTGGCAAATGAGGATGCCCGGGCGCCACTCCCTAACGTGCACGGCAGCCTTTATTAATGGAAGCTTCTTGAGGGTGGGGCTGTCTTCTTTATATTTGCATCCCCAGCACATAGTAAGCACTTCATGAATACTTTCTCATCCATTCATTCAGTCCTGGGATTTCTTAGATACAAAGTGCAAACACTTCCTGTTCTTGGGTGCCTGCTACGTTCAAATCCTTGTGCTGGAGTTTTTAGCAGTCTAGTGTCAATCCCTATTTGCCGGGCTGGTGGTTGGAAGAAGGCAGTCTGAACGTGGAACAGAGCAAAGCTTAACTGGCTTTCTCTTGAGTTAATCTGATTTGTGGATTATTTATGGTAAATTTTTAATCCTAGGGCTATTTTGCTGCCTTCTGTCCTGATTCTTCTACCACCATCACCTCCCCTGCTCGGTCTACCTCCCACTTAATGTGGGCTTCTGTGGAAGGAATGCCAGTGACTTTGCTTAGTCTGAAAACTCACTGTTTAAGTAAGGAAAGACCACCAGCCTGAATCCCTTAGGAAGGTGGTCATTATAAACAAAGTTTAGACAAGGAGTTTATCTTAAAGCAACCTTGGAAAATGTCAGCATCATCTTAGAGATGAGGGGAAGGGACCCATTTTCCTAAGGTCCTGCGGCTGTACTTGGACCCAGGAGGGATTTTTCCATCACTCTCCCCCCCCCCATACCTTTGAATGTGGTTGTTTATTTTAATGATGCATCATCATCCCCTGAACCTGTCCTGCCGTAGGAATCCTTCATACATGAGGTGCCCAGGTAGACTGCACAAACTTTATAAAGAACATCAGTCTTGCCGTGTCCAGATTAATTGGGAACTTATTACTTCTATTAATCTGTTTTCCTGTAGTTTTTTTAAGGGGTAATAGCTAGTATCCCGAACGATAATCCTTTTCCTTTCCCATCCACATTACAATTATTGCCAGAAACATGAATTGTAGATGGACACGTGTGCCTTTCACATGTTCGTCCTTCTGGTAACCAGGCTGTGTGTAATACATTTTCAGAAGAAATCCCTAGAGAATCCCAGCATGGATGTTTTCTCTTGACTCCCAAGCTCATGGCCTTGGCTCTTCTTTTTCTGCAATTGCCCTTCTGGGATGGTAACTCTTGGGGCATGTTCCTTGGCCTAGCATCCGAGGTCTGATGGCCTGCTGAGACCAGCGCATGAGGCCTTTGCAGGCTTTACAGTGTATAGAGCGGGAATGGAAGCTCATCTCTCGTGCTTGGGACTGTCCCTTGTCTTTTCCTTTCTCTTCTTTTTAAAATGGGCATCTTGGAGATGTGGAATTACCCTGTTAGACTATAAACTCCCGCGTTAAGAAGAATGGCTGATGTTCCTTGGAGTAGAAATTGTTTCATTCTTAGTACTTGTATGTATCCCCACTGTGTCTGGCACAGAGAGAGCTTAACAAGTGCCTGTTAATTGTGGCTGCCAGGGGGCGCCACTGCACAGAGTGGTGGGCCTCCAGTCAGGAAGGTCTGAGTTCAAATCTGGACTTGGATGCTTACCAGCTGTGTGACCCTGGGCAACTCACTGTACATTTTTCTGCCTCTGTTTCCTCAGCTGTAAAATGGGGCTAATAACAGTACCTTCCTTCCAGGGTTGTTGTGAGGATCAAATGAGGTCCTGTTTGTAAAGTGCTCTCTCTAAAGGGTGGCTGTAATCATCGTCTTTGGTTTGGGTTGCGTGGTGGCTTGTTGGCACCCCCGTGCATATCTGTCTCTGGTCTCTTCCCAGGAAGCTCACGAGGAGCACGACACCTCCACAGAGAACGTGGATGACTCCAACCACGATCCGCAGTTTGAGCCCATAGTGTCTCTTCCTGAGCAGGAGATAAAGACCCTTGAAGAAGACGAAGAAGAACTCTTTAAGATGTGAGTGGGGCGAGGGCATGGACTGCACCCCCACAGCAGGGTCTTAGATGTTGAGCTCCAAACCTTGTTTTACAGACAAGGAGACTGAGTCTCCCAAAGGAAAAGGGCCTTGCCCAAGTCACGTGGGCAGTAGTGGCAGAGTCAGGATTTGAATCCAGCGCTCATCCCGTGGTCTGGCCATGTAAACTCGCGTTTCATGGTGGTGCTGGTCAGTTTTGTAGGCGATGGCAGTTCTGGGAGTGCGGAGTCAATGCTCCTTAACCACCCTGTCATCTGGAGAGGAGTGCAAGTGACAGGTCCACAGCCACATAGCTAGTACAACATGGAACCAGGATTTGAAACGAGGCCTCCCGGCCGCTCTCTCTGGGCTGGCTGTCCGGAGCTGTGCTGAAGCTGGGGGCTGGGGTGGGGGGATCCTGCACACTTTGGTTTTCATGCTGGAGCCCTCCCTGCACCTGGTGAGCTGGATAATCTCAATCAGAAAGGACGTGGAAAGGGAGTTCACAGAGAGCGTGAGATGGGATGAGAGCCGACGGGGGGGGGGGGGGTGGGGGTGCAGGTGTCTCATCTGGCTGCCCCGGGGGATACTTTTTTGACTTTTCAGGAATCGTGTATGATATATGAGAGCCAGAACTGTGTAACGAAACTGGAGAGAAATAAGAAGGATGAGGGGGAAGGACGTGGAGACTGGATGGGAAATGTCAGGGCTTGGGGGAAGAGAGCCTTGAGAGGTGGTGGGGTTCAAACGGGAAGAAATGGAGCACGGCCGCCACGGTGCAGGGGCTGGCTCAGAGGAGTCTGCCCCGGGTCTCTCCCACCTTGCACCTGGGCTGCCTCGGAGTTGTCCAGCCCACACGTGTGGCCAGGCCCGGTGACATTTTGTCTGGAGAGGCGGCAGGTGGCCGTCCTCTCCTCAGCTTCCCTGGGTTGCTGTCTGCGTCCTGTGGCGTGCACCCAGAGCACAGCTCCTAGACTCCCCCTTTGCTCCCCACTAGTTAACGTTCAGCTCTGGGCAGGATGTGCCCCACCCTCGAGGTCCTCATGGGTCGTTGGCATCCGGCTGCCAGACCGTGTCGTTCCTGCCCCCACACCATCTCACACTGGCCCTTATTCCCCTGGGGGATCACTTCCTAGCCGTCCCTTTGCCCTCAGGGGGACCTTCCTGAAGCATGGTTTTGGCCACGTTACCCATCTTTGTGTATTTGCGTGCTTTGTGTAGTGTTTGCCTATGCCTATGTGTGTCAGCTCCCTGGGAGAATTTGAGCTGGGGGGGGGGGGGGGTGTGGCGCTGTCCGCTCCCCATGCCTGGCACACAGTAGGTGCCTGCGTGATTCCTGCTGTGCTGTCGTCCCTGCCCTTTGTTCTGTTCTCGGTGTGCTCAGGATTCTCCCCTTGATCTTCTGGGTTTGGGCCACTGTCAGCACAGTGTGTGGGACCTGACTCGTCTCCTTTTCTGATTCCGCATGGTGCAGCCTGCCTGCTCCCACCGTGCGTCTCTGTTGCCTTTTGGGTGTCCTGTAAACTTGGATTCTTGAGTGAGTGTGGGATTGTTTCCGTGCTTCCCTGATAGGATCACCCAGACAAGAGCGTTGTCCCAGAAAGATAGGCCCAGGTCTTAGGAAGGGGCACAGGGTATTAAAAGTGCTGCCTTTTAAAATGGGGTCCAGCCTTTCTTCCTCCCCTGTCTCTCCTGTTCTTTTCTGTGCTTGCTGCGTAGTGGTCATCCATCCGTGGACCGAGGGGTCCTTCCCTTTAGCCACAGCTTCGATTCTAGACGAGGAGCGAGCACTCTTTGCGCTGGGCTTCTCCTGTGGATCCTCCTTCACTGAAAGGAGACATATCTGTGTCTGAAGCATTTTCAATAGCTCGTTGCAGCATTCTGCATTTTCCTATGTCGCCTCTCAGATTTCACCCCAGGCCTTTGATGTTAGGGGTGAGAGTAGAAATCTGTATTGTGGCCCTACGTCTTCAGCTGCTCAGGGTGACATGGTACAGGTCATGGAAGGCTGGGCCTGGGGGCCTGGGCGTGGCTGGGGACAGCCTCTCAGTCCTCAAGTCTGTAAAATGGGGAAACAGCGTTCACAAGGTTGGCCTGAGCATAACACTAGACGATAGCCATTTTGCAGGTGTATTTTTGTCTTCTGTATTAGCAGGATCATTGTTGATCAGCACAAGTAAATGAACTGGCTTTTAAGGTGTTTATGGCCCAGCCACAAGAAATTGGATGTTAGCGAAGCAGTACCTCTCCTTGGGCAACAAAATGGGAATAGTATTAGGGGCGAGAGCTCGCACCCGGTTCTGTCCACTTTGTAAACACGTTTCCCGTGAGCCCGTTTCTCTTGCCAAAGGAACGAGGCAAGAACGGTATTCCTCTGTCCCGGGGGAGAGTGCACAGCTCATCCCGCCTCGTATTGTTACGCCAGAGTTCTAAGTTGTATCATATGCCGTCATATCCTGTGCTAACTCAGTGAGTCTCTCCAAAGGCGGGCCAAGCTGTTCCGATTTGCCTCTGAGAATGACCTTCCAGAATGGAAAGAGCGAGGGACGGGCGACGTGAAGCTGCTGAAACACAAGGAGAAAGGGACGATTCGCCTCCTCATGAGAAGGGACAAAACTCTGAAGATCTGTGCCAATCACTATAGTACGTACCCCGTTTTTGTTCTGCTTGCGGTAATGCGAAGGCAGCGCCAGTGGCCTGTTTTGCCTAAGCCTGAGAGTTTAAAACCTAGAGTTAAGATGTATTTTTAAGAACTCTTTGGATTGGGAGTGTCTCTGGATGAGGCAGAATTAAAGTGGAGAATGCTGCCAGCTGGAATGGCAGACCAAGCAAGGCGAGGAGAAATCCTGTGCCTAGGGGGATGGAGGGTGACACTGGGGGTCCTGTGTGAGCCCCTGGGGTGATAGTGCTGCCTTCTGGACTTTTCTTTAAAAAAAAGAAATCCATCTTCCCTGGTAGAGAGAAAGAGACTTGCACAGTAGGCGGTCTGTGCTGTCAGACCAGCAGCGTGCAACAGGCTGGCAGATGTTTGGGGTTAAAGGGACCCCATTGGGGTGGTTTGGAAAGTGCGGCCGTCAGCCGAGTACGGACACCAGGGCTGTCGGAGACGTGTGGGATCGACCCTCGCTGGACTCGGGGGTGAGGCTGACAGCAAGAGCTGCTCCCTCAAAGAAGTCTCCAATGGGAGCCCTAGTCTTGGTGCTCCCTCCCCCTCCCCCTGCCCTTTTTTTAAGGAGGAAAAAATGAACTCAGAGAGAGGAAGCTAGCTATTGGAGGTCACACAGCAGCTTGGGGCTAGGACCCAGTTTGGTGCTGTATCTAGTCCACGGCATTTTTTTTTTTTTTTTTTTTTAATTTTGCCTTTGTCCTGCCCAAGATGCTGTCTTTGTGCTTCTGGGCAAGTCACTTAACCTTCCTGGGTTTCAGTTTCCTCCTGTAAAAGGGAGAGGTTTGGGATTTGTCTTTCTAAAGCGAGAACATTACAAAACAGAACTCAGTGATCAAGGATCCTCTGGTCAGTGTGGGAGATGATGCTGGAGAGCCCATTCCCAGGGATGGTCACTTGAGAAGGAATATCCTTTCTGAGTGTGTTGATAGGCCTTCTTTAGACACTGCAAATTAATTCCCCAAGTAGTTTACTGACAGCAGGCTTTTCTCCAACTTTGACCTTCTGGGAATGGTGTTGACTGGTGTGTCTGATCCTAGCTTGGTTCTGGGCATGCTATTGCTCTGATCTGTTTCAGAACAGTGGATTCAGAGGGAGAGAAGGAGCTGTGGTGGTGGGGTCGGGCCACGGCCCTTGCTCTTTCCTGTTTCCGGCTTTTAAAATTTCTTTTGCATTTGAAGTCGGTGTAAATGGTGTTTGGAATGTGCTGTGGGATTTGTCCATAGTTGTTTTCCTGATCCAGTCAGTTTTAATTTCTGTTTGAAAAACAAATATCTACTACAATAAAGGTACTGGGCCAAGAAGCAGAGATAAAGAGACAGACACAACGGAGCTCGCCCAGCCCAGCCCAGGCCAGGGGTGGTCTCAGGGCCCTGTCTCCTGGGCCCCGCTGGAGCCAGCCTGCTGCCACTGCGCACCGCGGCTTTCCCCAAGTGGAACAAGCTGTATATTTCTGCTGAGTCTTTTTTTCAATATAATTGAGGTGACAGGTAAAAATGGAAGTTTTCCCGTCCTGTCCCTACACGGCAAGGTGTAAGTCGAGAAGGTAGAATGCGGAGCGCAGGCATAGAAAACCTGCTGCCTTCTTCAAAGAGCAGGCGACTCCAGCCCCTGGGGAGCAGCCTTAGGGTTTCCACTGACCCTAGCTGGGCACGGCCACATGAAAGAGGGTGGGGGATTCTCTGCCTGGGAGCGCTAACCTGTCTTCCCCCTTCCTTCTGCCAGTAACACCATTGATGGAGCTGAAGCCCAACGCAGGCAGTGACAGGGCCTGGGTCTGGAACACACACGCTGACTTTGCTGATGAAAGTCCCAAGCCTGAACTGCTGGCGATCCGATTCCTAAACGCAGAAAGTAAGTGAGACGGTCAGAAGGATGCTGAAGTTTGCAGAGATCGCTGGCCCGAGCTCTCTCTGCCCCATACTGTGTGATGTCAGCTCATGACCATGGCTCTCTGAATTGGAAGGGCCCTTAGGGCTCGTCTGAGCCAGCCTTTGCGTTTTACGGGTGAGGAAACTGAGGCTCAGGAAAGGAAATGACTTACCCAAGGTGTCACGGGTAGACTCCCAATCTAGGGCTCTTTGCCCCTAAGGAATGAGGAATCTGGCTTGGCTCTAATTCTTGTCAAGTCCTGACCAGGGGCTTTGTGTTCACTCTGCTGATGGTTAGTGAATGAGGAAGGCTGATCCACCCAGTGCTCCTGATTAGGCTCAGGTGAAGGGAGAAGGCAGCCCAGAGAGGCCATAACCTGTCCTCACTTAGGGGGTAAGGAGTGGGGGCGGATTTTCCCCAGATGTGACTACCTTCTCCTGCCACCACTTCCTTCCAATGAAGGGTGGGCCTGCCCTGGGAACCCTGACCATGGGTTCGAGAGCACAGAAATTTTGTTGGTAAAATGTTGGCATTCTGAGCACGACCTGCTGGTTTGGGAAGCACATTTCCTTATTCCTTGGTACAAACAGCCTTGATGGGCCAGTGAACAGATTCCAGTGTTTTGTGGCAAAGGGCAGGCCCAAGGAAGGCGCTGTGGAGGGCAAACACTGCTTGGAATCCTAGGACCGCTGTGAGACCGCCCATTAGGCGGTGGCTGGTGCAGTCACAGTCAGGAAGACCTGACTTCAGGCCCTGTGGCCCTGGGTAAGTCACTTAACCTGTCTGCCATTTGTTGAGTGCCTCCTGTGTGCCAGACATGGTACTCGGCTAAGATGGGGGTAATAATAGCACCTGCCCACCTTGCAGGATTGCTGGGAGGAGCCAATGAGATCACAGCTATAAAAGCACTCGAGCTCAGTGCCTGGCACACAGTAGGTGCTCTATAAATGCTTATTCTCCCCACCCCTCCTCTCTGTTCCCTGGGTAACTTTGGGCAAGTTATTTCAGCGCCGGGCCTCAGTTTCCTCTGAGGCCTCTTCGGACTCCCAGTCTGTGGCCCTAAATCTCAGTGCTAGGGTGTCCTTGTTCATTTTGTTCTCAAGATTAGAGTGGGCAGGTCACTTCACCTTTGAGCTTCATTTTCCTCATCAATAAAATGAGCTTGGGTGTGAGAAGCTTCCTTTGAGGATTGAAGGGAGCCCCAAGAGGCCCCGTCTCAGCCCTGCTTCCCCTCCAGGCTGCAGGCGCGGTGCTCTCATGGTGCCTCCCCCGAAATGGAGGGACAGAGGGGTGAAATCTCTTTTCCTCTTGTGACTAGATGCCCAGAAGTTTAAGGCAAAGTTTGAAGAATGCAGGAACGAGATAGGAGAACGAGAAAAGAGAGGTAAGATTCCCTGTGTCTGCTTCTCACTGTCCCCCGCAGACTCACTCTGTACATGACTGCCTTCCTCAGTCTTGCTGCTTTTCCAGTCTGCTAGAGAAGTGACCCAGGCTCTTGCAAACACCTTTCTCTGGTGAAAGGCCATTGCATGTGCTTGGGAAACATCCCCGGAGCCTGGTCGAGGCTGTCAGGAGGGCCCTTTGTGAGTCTCCCAGCAGGTTCCATAGAGTTGCCATGGCTGGACAGTTAAGAGGCTGCGTCCTCTTTTCTTTTCCTGTGTAGCTCAGTCAGAAAAACGGTAATTAGGGAATTGAATGAATGGCAGTGATTCCAGGGCTGAGAGGGCCAGCTTCTTTGGAACCTTGGGTAGGGCTGACGTAGTATAGTGATGACATAGTAATAACTCCGCTTCTTTCCTGTTAGGGTGAACGAAAATGGTGGCAAGCTATAGAGGTTGGCTAAACAGCTTGATTTTGCCTCCAAATCTAGTATTTTAAATGATAAAGTTGTTTGGAGAACAATTTTAAGCAATCAACATAGGGAATCAAGCTTCTCTGCTGGGCTTCAAGCGAGCCTCAGGGCCAGCTGATGTCAGGCCCCCTTGGGGCGTGTAAACTCTTCTGTGGTCTCTGCTCTTCAGTTGGGCCAACCTGTGAGTGCCGAGCCCGTTGGGTTCCTGGTGATCCAGGGCGAGGAGTGGCCCCCCCGACAGGCCCAGGGCGAGGTCCGAGTCCGGCTGTGGCGCCTGTGCCCGCTGGTCCTTGCCACGTCGAGGCTGTGGCAGCTGCTGACTTCCCCGGTTGGTGTGTTTTAGCAGGAGCAGGCAAAGAAAACACTGATAAAGTAGTGGAGAAGTTGTCGGAGCTGTCGGTGAAGGAGGAGAAGGAGGAGAAGGAGAAGGAAGGCAGCCAAGAGCCTGAGAGCCCCTCGGCGCCCGAGAAGGAGACCAAGGACCAGGACGTGTTACTGCAATAAATCATCTCGCAGGCCTCGCCTTCTTTCCTTTTATTTTCTTTATTTTTGTTTCAATTTTTTTTTTTTACAAGGGACTTTATATAAAGAACTGAATTCCAGCCTCCAGGTTGTTTTCTAAGCTTTTATCCTTTCGAAGATGTCTTCAGCAAACCCATTCCCAGTCACATGTACTGCGCTCATAACATTCTTTTCCATAGTGGAAACACTTATTTATAGTACATCCAAAAGAGTGAATAAAACATTTGAAAGCTGCCTCCGAGGACAGAACTGAGTTCTATATGTTTACTCAAACACACTGATGACTGAAACTCCTGGCATTGGTTGTTGTCGGGTGCCTTTGTCTTTGTGTTGGTGACTTAGGGGTTCTGGGGGTGCATCGTCAAGCCTGCTGGTGTCGTTGGGAACGCCCCCGCCTCCCCAGGCTAGATGCTTCTTCATTTGTGGTGTACCAGCTAACCCGGCACAGTTGCAGCAGCGTTTCCTGGGGGCACAGTTGGCATAGCTTGAGTTGTCTTCCCATGGGCACTCATCCTCGGGAAGTCGAGGAGGAGGGTGCTGTGCTCTCTGGGTACTTTAGTGTTGTGGCCTTGGCCAGCCTGGGAGTCGAGGGGAAGCTGGTGGAAGCAGCCCTTCTATGGCCTTGGTTTGTGGCTCACAGCTCTGGGCGCTTTCCTGGTGTGCACGTGGGCTGGGGGTCCCGCTCTTGGGCCTTGTTCTCTGTAGGCTGCACCTACGTGTTTCGCTCTTCTGGCGTAAGGCACTTCCCCCACGGGTGTCCTCCCTGCACCTGGGACACTTGTCCTTGAGGCATGGAACACTCCTTGTGTGGTGGGTCAGTACAAGAGTTGAGGTGGCGCGGGCTTGGTTGGCACAGGCGGCTGGCTGCCGTCACATAGGGGAGCTAAGGTGAAGCTTGAGCTCCAGCAGCCCAGCTGAGCTGCAGAGCTCCTCGAGCAGGGGAAGGGCCTTGATGACAGATGGGTGATGGTGCTGCCCAGAGGGCTTTCAGGTCTGAGTGGAAGGAAGACATGGTCAGCGTCAGGCTCTGTCTCTCTTCCTGTTGTCTGGAGGGTGGGCGGCCTCAGGCCGTCGGGTCAGCTGTCCTCTGGGCAGCCCCTCCCAGAAGGAGATACAGTCTGTCGTTCCCCAGCACCCCCAGAAATGAAGAATACCTCAGCTGCCTGTGTGCCCTCAGGGAAGTCATCACTTGGGTGTGGCTGTGTGCTGTGTGTCATGTGTCCCTTCTCTCCATCTCTGGCTGCTCACCTGGGGCGCTTGTGTCATGTCTTAAGTTTTGCTCTTGTCTAAGTTTTAAGCCAAGAACTTTCAGCTTGCTTAAAATGAAAGGCCCTCCCATAGGGAGGATGGTTTTACCATTAATTGCTGAAGGTTTTTTTCTTTTTTAAGCATTTTATTCTGCCATAAGCTTGAGAAATGTTGACCAGCCATGAAGCCCCCCCAAGGCTGGAGTTTTATTTCCACTATTCACTGTGAGCTTTGGAAAGCAGCATAAACGGTTGAAAAGCATATTAGCCTATAGTGTTTCTTAGTAGTAATAGTAAAAGGACTCACTTCAGTCAGATTTTTAATCTTGGCAGGTTCCCTTCATTTGTTTTCCTTCCCACCCACCAAAGGTGCTTTATTTAAAACAAAACAAAGAAAGCATGTCCGTCTCACTTGCTGAAGGTCCTTACTTAGCATCTCCACCAGTTCACCTGTGTTTATAATGTCCCCGCTATAGATGTTAACGTTATGACTTGGTGTTTTCCCTGTTTGGGTCTGTGTTTGTCCATTTAAAAATACCAGCCCCTGGTCCCTATCGGAGTGCCCTTCCAAAGGAAGAGTGTGATTGTTTTAAAGAAAAAAAAATGCCCGCTGACTAACGGAAAGCTTCCTTCTCCAACTGCTCAACTTGTGTTCTCGTCCTGTTCGGTCTTGTAAAGCAAGCACAGCCACTCGGGACTGTGCTTGGCCAAGTCGGTGGTGGAGGAGGAGGAGGCAAAAAGACCCCTTCAGAAATCAGATGTTAGCGCAATAAAGAGGGAAGCAATTGCACATGAAATCATTGTTCTGTCACGCTCTCTGGTGTTGATGTGTTGGAAACCGGAAATGTACTCCGTGAATGTTCTGTTGGCTATGATTTCCTCTGTGCCGACCCTACTGGAGCGAGTTCTCGGGGAACAGGAGGGTATGTCTTTAAATGCTTTCATTGAAGTTATGTGTGTAAACAGGGCTGTGTGTCCCCAAGATGCTTTCCCCCTGATACGGGGTGTGGGGTATAAGCATATGCCAGGCACTTGCCCTCCCCCTTCCAAAAAGAGATCTTGTCTCACTCTGTAATTGTTTTGTGTCCAATAAAGTGCCACTTAATGTATTTCTCCAGGGAGCCTCTGCTTGCTCTTGTCGAAGTGGATGGAAACTGAGCTGGCTCACTTGTCCAGCCTTGGGGCTTAGAAAAAGCCTGTGGGAGTGAGTAGCCTCTGGGAAGGCTTCAGGCTCTGCCGTCGCTGGCTGTCAAGCCACAAGAGAGCCCTGGTGCACGAAATCGGTGGGGTCTCTGGTTTGGAACCTTGGTGCACAATTCCAGATTGGAATGTTTGAAAGATACTCTGGCTGCTTTATTACTCCATAAAGGAGAGAGAAAAAAATACGAAACCTGAGGCCCAGGAATATTGTAACTTGACCACGGTCACATAGGTTAGAAACCTGGGTCCCTTAACTTTATGACCCCTGGATGAGAGACTGTCCCTTTGGAAGTCGGGGATAACTGGACATTTATTCCTACCCTGGCAGTTAACGTCCGTATGACCCAGGGCCAGACGCTGAACCTTAGTAACCCTCAAGCAATTAGAGCCTGGGGGCCTGTCCCTATGAATTCTGCACGCCCTTTGGGCAGCCCATCAAGTGGCTGATTCTTGGTTCTCCTTTCTCAACCACAGTGCATCTGAGTGTTAACTGTGGCGTGAAGCAAAGAGTAGGCATCATGAAGTGGGGAGGCTTGAGTGTGAGTGATTGCCGTTTAGTCACCACATACTCTGCCTACCTCCTGACCTCTCAGGTCTGAAAAGCACCGTAGAAACAGGAGCTGGTGTCCCTGTTGGGGAGTGGAGACGCCCTGATCACAGCATTCCTGCCCGCTGGTTTTATAGGAAGGGAAGATTCTGGGGCAGGTCCCAGCAGCGGGAGGGAATAAGAGGAGGGTAAAACATCGGAAGTTTGATGGTTGACTTCCCAGTCACCCCCCATTTCAGAATCTCTGAAAGAAGCTGAATATTCTTTGGAAAGCAATGCTTTCGAACTTGATTCGGCAGTACGGAGGCCTGTCTGCCGTCTCCAGATCTCGAATTCCAAACTTGTGGGTTGGGACCCAGATTACTGAAGCTTTCCTGTAAAGTTCTACTGAGCAAGCGGAAGATGAGCCTTCCATTTGCAGCTCTCCTTACCCCACACTTTCCCTCCGATATTCATCGCACGTTGATTAAACCCCCATGATGTGCAGGCTCCTGGGGAAATAAGCATGAAATGACAAGCAGCCCCTACCCTGAAGGACTATGGACTAGCTGGGATCAAGGGCTAGTTTACTATTAGCTCAAGCAGCTTTAAGGGCGGAAGATCAGGCAGTGCATTCTATGCAAAAAGATGCACAGCTTTTCATTTGTAAACTGCAGAGTTAAGATAGACAGTTGTCTTCCCTGTGCATTGGAAGGAATGCGTTCACAGGCTGCTGTCTGTAGGTTATGGCAGCGTACTCCGTCCAGCCGATGTCTTCCCCAGGTCTGTAGGTGGGCGCCACGTTCCTGCAGTAGCCCATGAGGGGAGACAGGAAACGTCCCCATTTTCTGAGGAATCTTGGAGTGACTCGTCCTGTGTCACAGAATCAGATCTGGAGTTTGAGCCCAGGTTATCTGGGCCATGGCGCTGCGATCCTTCCACAGGCATCCTTGGAGCATGCTCAGTGCTGGCAGGAAAGGGCTGCTTCCACATCCTTATCGGGCTTTCTGTTTGGCTCTTTACTTTGAAATGGAATATTGCTAGTGGGACATTGGCTGCACACAAGGGTCACAAGGCCGGCTCCCCCTGCTGCCTTAGAGAATCCTCAAGGTTGTGGGGAAAGCTAGTATCTAGTGGCCAACTTGGTGGCTAGCCTGTGCACTCACGGTGTGGCTGCAAGCCAATGTGGACCCTTACCTTGGACAGCTTGGCACGTCCTATGGGAGCTGAGATTTCCATGGCAGAATCTCGGGGCATCAACCCAAGTCATCACCCCACCCTCATGAAGCCGTGGACCAGAACGTTGGTGGAGGCTACACCTTGCCTATAATGGGTAGGTTCCCCATGATAGGAAGTGAACCAGAGACAGGTAAAATTATGGGCATGAGTCAGTTGACCTTGGTTCAAATTCCAGTCCCATCGTTTGCCAGGCGTGTATATGATCTTGGCAAGGTCATTTCCTAGACTGATCCTCAGTTTCTTCATCAGTAAAGTTCAGGGTGGAGTAGGTGATTCCCCGAGGTTCTTTTGGAATCCTCCAGATCTAAGATTTGGCATACAGTTAGTGCCAAATAAATGTCCTACTACCCATTCATCCATCTGTTTTCCACAGATTTGCCTATCAAAGGATATGGAGCTGGAATGAAATCTTACTGTCTTTGAGACTGCCATGCCTTGAGGCACAGTGTGCTGGAGTGTTGGACTCAGACACTGGGTTCAAATCTTTCTGGCCTCTGGCCTCTGTTTTCTATAAAATGGCGGGATTGGACCGGATGGTTTCTCAGTCCTCTTCCAGCTCTGAATCTGTGGTCTAGTCTAGTCCTGTCATTTCACAGGGGAGGAAACACACTCAGAGTCACATGGAGAGTGAAATACTTAGCGGAGCTGGGCTAAACACAGCTTTTGGGTTCAAAATGCAGTGACCCTTACACAAGGCCCGATAACAATGACAGGATGGCCATTTTGTACTGCTTTGTTAGGTCCTCCAATTATGAACACAACGGCCCAGCCAAGCGAGTCACAATCCTATCGGAAGGACCTCAACACCTAGTCGAACCCCTGCCTGGCCAAGACTCCACTCAAGGCACGCCCAGTGAGTGGTCATCCAGTCACTGCCGTGGTGAGGCAGAAACCATGCCCTGAGCCAGCCCAGGCCTCTTTCAGACAGCTCCCCTCCTTCTGCCCCTCTGCACCAACATTGTTCCTAGCTTTATTCTCTGGGAGGCCAGGTAGAACGTATCTAATCCTTCCACAAAGATCTCTTCAAATAAAGGAAATCGTTACCCCCACCACCACCATCAGTAATTTTCTAAGCGCTTACTCTATGCCAGGCACTGTGCTTGGCACTGGGGTTCAAAGACAAAAACGAAAGGCCCTCCCCACAAGGAGTCCAGATTCAAACCCAGGACCAGTATCCTTAACTCTCCATCGCCTCTAAGAATGCCTTCAGTAAATACACTTGGGGGGGGCAGTGTGCCTTGCAAAAGCCAACATCAGGGTCAGTAGAAGGAACCCCCACACTGAGAACTCTCAGACCATACATCCATTTTTAATCCAGTGAGCATTTATTGAGCACCTACTACAGGCTGGACCCCTCATGTCTTTGTGTGTAGCTAACCCAACAGGGGCTGTGTGAGCAGCCCACCTCTGCAAACCTCAGTTTCCTCCGCTGTAAAAGGGAGATAAATGACCGATGTCCTACTGATCCCTCATGGTGAGGACTGGACTTTGTACACCATAGAGCAGATGTGGATGGTAGCCGACGATAGCAGGGATCCCTTAGCTGAGGGGCCACTGAGGGAGGGCAATTTCTGGACACAAAGCCAGATGACCAAATTTTAGGAAGGATCTTTGTGAGCTGGAAACTCCCAGAGGAGGGCATGAAGGATGATGAAGGGCCTGAAGTCTGGGCCTTGTGACTTTTGGAGGACCTGGCAGGACTGGTGTTGGGTGTGTGTGGGTGTGGGTGTGTGGGTGTGTATATGGTGGTGGGGGGGTGGTATTAGCCTTTTCCTGCTTTTCCCGGTGTAAGCGGAGACCATTGCCCCTCACCCCAAAAAGTATTTGGGTCCCATTTGTCTGCGGACTCTCCTTCAACTCTCCTACTTATCTACCTATGAAGGAAGTCTCCAGTGTTCCCCTGAGGCTATAATCCTATCAACTGGCCTTTCATTATCACCTATGCCCAATCTCTCCGTTCTCCCTTACCCTTAACCTAGGCCAGCCCTCTATTGTTTATTACCTCCCAATGGCCCCGGCTACTTCCCACCCTTGATCCTATCTAGACCCCATTCTCCACCTCCCAGTCACTCCCTTCAAGGTCCTCCCTAGACCCCTTCTCCCAGACCCCTCCCACAGTCACCCCAAACCACTTGGCCACTCCTAGATCCCTCTCACAGTCTTTCTGTATGTAAGGTCCATCTGGCCTCCATTGAGGTGCTCAGATTCCATAAGAGTCTGGCCAAATACTCAGATTCTTAAAATCTAGCCAGGGGCTGAGACTTATTCAAGCCCGCCTGTCATTACAAGCGTCACAAACGTTTAGATTCCTCAAGCCTGGCCAATAGGGCAGGTCTTTAATAAACCTTGTCTTTGACTGGAAAAAAAAAACAAGTTCAAAGAAAAAAAGATAGAAGCCAAGTGAGAGCGAGTCCCCTCGGGTTTCCACAAAGCCGCGTATTTCAGACATATTCTCAGCTGAGGCCGGACTAAAAGAGAGGTTTCAGTCGCTCAAAGGGTGTTGATCTGGGTTCCTGAAAGGCACCAGAAAGTGTTTGGAGCAATAGCATCGGAGAAAAATTGGGTCATGTCAAAAATAAAATGCCAAGGGCTCCGGCTGTAATTAGGTTGAATTCAAACCCACAAAAGGTGACTTGGAACTCACAGTCTCTGAAGAGAAGGTTTCAGGTTGTTGGAATCCTAGATGGCTGGTGCCGGGGAGAGCCCAGCTCAGACAGGCTGTGACTCACGAAAATAACTGCAAGGCATCCTGGCTAATAGGGCTGGAAGGTCGGCCAAGCCTTCCTTGCCACAGCCCCGTGAGCACTGAGTGTCATCCCCATTTTACGGAGGAGGAAACTGAGTCAAGAAACATTTGCCCAAGATCACCCCACTAATAAATAGCCAAGGCAGGATTTGAACCCAGGTTCCTTCTGTCTCCAAGCACTCTGTCCACTCTGCATGCCAGAGCACCTGGTCCAATTTGTATCAGAATGTCAATAAGGGGCCATCTCATGGGGGAGGGATTAGCTTTGTTCTGGCTGACCCTAGAGGCAGACAGGATGTGGAGACCATCCAATTGCATTTAACACCCAAAGACTGAGCACTTGCCATCTTCAAAGAGGAAACATGGCAGTCTCTGATCTCAGGGAGCCAGATCACTAG